ATTCTGCTTTAACCATGGGAAGAGAGGAGAAATTCATGCTGTCGATTTTGTGAACTCGTGATCGTGGGGATCAGACCAATACTTGATATCTCTTAGGATTTTACTGGTGGCAGATCATGTTATTGGATACTTGATCCTCTTAAGAGTTTCTCGGATACCTAGTCCATGTCGGTTGTGATCCTTGTATTGTTTGTGATTGCTGCATATGCTTGCCTTTAATAGTGTTGTGAACTTGTGAGATTTTAGGCCTTGAAACCTTCATATCAGTTGTGCAGCTTTTGATCTTTAAGTTTTCCAACCTATGAGTTCTTCACTTAAATGAGAGTGAATGGAGTTGCTTGATGACAGTAAGATTGTAATAGCCTTCATAAAGTGATCAACTTCTGTCAGGAAATTGTTTGAGTTAAAGGTGGCACCAACTTAACCTAGCTGGGGAAGGTCTCAGTAAATCTCTAATGACAGTTATTTCTTGATGATTGCTTTTGTTGGGTAGACATGATATATAGGATGCTTATAGTATTTCCATGTTACAGCATGCAAGACTCTCAAAAGAGTTTCCAAGTAACTGTGAATTAAGTGTCAATTTCCCTGTTATTTACACTGCTCAAATTAAGCATCATATCTGCCTGACTAACTTCTGTATATAAGTATCCTTATACCAAAAGTTATATGATGGAATTACGGAATATTGTACAGGAAATGGAAATCCCTCATAATGATTGCTGTTCTCCTCATTATTATCAAAATCTTCACTCATTAACCAAGAAAACTTTATTGTTATGCGAAAACCTCCTTGTTCATTAGATTACTTCGTAATTGATCCATGTATCTCTTCTTCATTGTTGCAGGAAAGTGAAGCTAAAGAAGCAGTGGCCACCTGTGAGTGAACTGAATGCATGCATGCTTCCCCCGCATCGGATGATACTCATTATTATCCTTCTGAAATTGTTGGTATTTCTGCTTTAACCATTTTGAAGTCTTGCAGCTTCAATTTGCTATATTCGATCGGATATGTATTTATTTGTCTAGCTATGTGTGCAAAAGCATCGTCTCTGTTTTGAAAGAAGATGTAACTGACAATTCGATTGCAGTTATTCTTTTCTCTTCATTTGTTTCCTTTCTACAAGTGTTCTTTAATGTCTTATCTTTTCAATTATTTAAGTGAAGAGACCGTGTGACTATTTGGCTCCTGAAGCTGACATTTTGGACTTGATAAGTTCAACTTGAAAACCCATATACCTGGTACGCTCATCAATATGTGCAAGCATATTCTTTGCAAATGTTTGTTTAGTCTTTTCATACGCCAATGCTTAGAATCTTGGATGCGTGGATAAATGCTCTTAACCATTTGAGCTCTAAGCCTATTTGCATTTTATGCCAATATTTAGAAGGTCAAAAACGTTGTTCTTTTCATCTAGGTCTCTGAATTATGTTATTTCACACCTTAACCATTTTTTGTTAAAGGTTAAACATGGATATCTTGATTTTGTGAATTGGGGAAGACCAGATATGATCTAATTTCCAGAACTTCTAGTCGCCCCAAAGTAATTTAATTGTAGGCGTTATTATATAACTAACTTTAAAATTTGAGAGTTTTCCCAACAAAGTTTGCTGTTGGAACTTGGAAGTTGGAACCCAAGTGAGAGTAGGCCCAAAAGCTCCTGAAATACACGAATCTGGCCCAAAACTTGTGAGGCTTAAGATATTTTTGGATTCAAACTTGTGTGACAAATTTATTTATTTTTTTAAAAACAAAAAAGAAGAAGAGGAAGAAGATTGATTTTGGAAAGCCTACGACGAATGAAAAGTATGGTTTAAGTTGATGGGTCCATATGTTGGATCATATGCTAGATAGTGAAGGTTTTGAATATTTATCCATGCAATCAAGTTCTTATGTTCAATCACCCCCTCTTTTAATAGCTTCCAATATCGCTTGTATTTTTTAACATAGAAACATATTGAAATGCATTTATGTGTTGATATACAAGCTGAAGTTTCAGATTTTTCTTTTCTTTTCTAGAGTCTTCAAAATTCAAATAGTCCAAGATGCTTAGGAGTGCTTTATGCATATACAAGCGACATCAATATGCAATTTATCAGAAGGTATCAATGGGTTAGCTAGCAGATGCCACACAAAGATTTCGAGACAAAAGCTAAAACTAAAATCAGAACATCAACTAGAATAAATGTCAGTCACTGTTAACTGCAGAAATCCGTGAGGCATGCAAATCAGGCTAGAGTAAAAACATAATTATGGAAAACCTGTGAGTGAAAAGTATAATTATTAGTTGATAGATAGCCATATATGCAGTGCAGACCAAAAAAAAAAAAAAAAAAAAAAAAAAAGTTGACAGATTTTGTTGGATCTTTAAGAAAACAAAAAAGAAGATCCATATGTTAAGATTGGGAAGTTTTCAACACTAGAAATTTATCGAAATGCATTTTGTGCTTTTTCAGAAAGCTTCTTCAAAGTACTTTCCTTCTTTTGAGAGCATACATTCAAAGTAACTTTTGCTTTAATTCACACATGCATACTAAAGCTCATGTCCGGAATGTGACCAAACGATAATGCCTAGATGTATACGTATAATTCACACTTCATTTTGTAGCTTGTCAAAGAGCTCAAACTTCAAAATTCAAATTGCCTAAGAAGGCAAGAACCTCCTTAAAGAGAGGGCACGGGGGGATGGATTAGAATCGATTCGATCCATAAGCATTTAGAGCATCTTGAATGAGCTCTCTAAATGAGTTTATTAGTTAAAATTTAGACTCCAATAATGCTTCCAATTCAACTTCTAAAACCGGGATATCTCTAGACTCTATAGGCTCTTAAGCAAAAATTAAACTTAAAAAAGGGTCATAATTGGAGACGCTCTTAGCACATGTTATGTATAGAGTTCAGGAAGTAATTGAAACCCAAATCAGAAACAAGAAGTAGAGGAAATGAATGTCAATTATTAAAATGAACATACTCCCAACTGTTAACTGCAGAAATCAAGGAACATGTGAAATGTCCCAAATTGGGCGAGTCATGGGCAATAATTGAAAATGAGGTTTGGGTTTTCCCCTCAATTTTATTATCCAACACTGCACCTCTTCTCCATGAATCACCTGTAGTAGAGTTTTAAATTTAAGGGACATTTTGGAAAAAGCAAAAGGAGAGAGAAATTTTTTAAAAGAAGCAAAAATGGACAAATGCCCTTATTTATTTTTAGATTTCCTAAGGAATCCAATATATTTGCATGTCTTTGATTTGAAAGTTGAGTGGTTTTTTTGTCTTTTTTGAAAAAGCTTTGGCTTTTTCCAAAAGTGAAATTTTTTTTATGTCTAAAACCTAAAAAACCTTAAATGTAATTGGTGACATACACAAATGGATGGCTTTCAATTAAAAAAACAAAACAAAATAATCATTGCTAAAAAGAATTAAAATAGTAGATCACATAGAACAAAGTCAATAGAGGGGGTTGATGGAAGCTTCAAGCTTATAATAGATAAGCATGCAGCAGAGCAGCAGCAGGAGCTGTGTTTAATGTTAATGGAGCGTGTGAGGTTTGAGTTCTAGTACTTTCACGTGGATTGTGACTTCGCGAGTCTACAAAGTTTTGACATCTCATGTGACCAAACAGATAAAGGCAGAACCACAACCAGCTCATCATTTAATTATTAATTAATTTGCTTTGGCCAATCAAAAGGAACCAAAGTGAGCGATAAATGTTACCTGGAAACAGCCCCCATTAGTCCTGATTAAATGTCCTTTAGGTGGGTTGTTTTAGAGACGGGAAACAAATAGTAACGTTTGAACTAGGGCGATTTCCGATGATTGATGAGATGCGGTATCATATAAATCAATTATAAAAAGTCACTTACTCATACGTGAGCACATAAAAAAATTAATACTAAATTGATTGCACAAAAATTAAAAATGAAGAGGCGGTACGACGATTCTGATTATTGATGAGATGCGGTATCATATAAATCAACCATAAAAAGTCACTTACTCATACGTGGGCAAATAAAAAGACTAATGCTAAGTTGATTGCATAAAAATTTAAAATGAATAGGCAGCTGGGGTCACGATGTGCCTTGATGTGCCTTGTTGTGACTTTGTTCCTAAGCGAATGACCGTAGCATAGCTGATGCAGAGAATTACTAGTCGCTTCTTGAGTTATCTTGTCACCTTCAAATACCAAACTATGCATTCTCTGGTGATGTCCGATGTGATTGATAAAAGTATTGGGTGGAAGAGCAAATCGACCACCTCCTTCGTGTTTCTTTCAACCAATTGTTTTAAGAAATAATAATAATAAAATCTTCTATGAACAAACTTTTAGAGCAGCTAATATTGCTCAATGTCTAGAACCATTTTTACAATCTCAACGTTATCTCCAACTCCCAGCCTCCAAGGTCATTAAAGATGCGATGGAATACGTCTAGAACTTGGAATATATGCCCAACGAAAATACAAAATTAATTGAAAAGAATCATAAACTATGTTGGCGCACTGCAAGTTTCAACGAATATAAGAAGGAAACGAAACCATCTTTGTCATGCTTGGTTTAGCCTAATGACACAAAATTCAACCACTTGGAACTATTAATTGTTAATGAGCAACCTGCCATCCATTGGGGGACAAACAGTAGTTTACCCACCAAGAGGTGAAAAAAGCCCCCCATATTTGGGAGCCAGAAAGTGATGGTTATTCCTCAAAATGAGACAAAAAAAGAAGTGAATTTTTCTGTAATTAATTAAGCTTTGGTGATTGTATAAATGGGAAAATGGTTTGTTTTGGTATGATGAAAAGTCAAGATACCCATTAGACGCAAAGAAGAATCGCATTAACAATTTGTATTAAACAAACAAACAATTGTGAAGCTTTGATTTGACTGTCCTATTTCAACATGTAAGCAAAAGGAACTCAAACACCAAACTTCTATGTAAGCAAAAGGAACTCAAACACCAAACTCCACCGAAGTTTGGTGCAATTGTTACATGATAAATAGTATACTAATGTTATGACTATATTGGATTCAGAAAAACTTGGAATGAAACTTGTTGCTTGCTAACTACAGTGCTGAAATGAACTTTTGACATTACATCACATAACCATAACACTGTTGTACTTGTACCTACAATATTCACATACATGGAACAAAGATAAAAAGTAGATCACTACAACCCCAAAATCTTTATAACATCAATCTTAGGTTGCATGTGAGCACTCACTCTTACAAGCATATGCCTGAAACAACAGCAACCGCCAGATGCATTTCGATCACCAGCTCAGGCGTAGGGGAGGAGGATCTGTGGTGCATAATCAACAGAGCATCGCTTTCTTCTGCGACAGTCCAATCCAGATTCTTCGATCAAGAGGCACCGCAGTCAACATAGCCTGGCCACCAATGAGGCAAAATTGTTCTCTCCTTCTCCACTTTCAAACTCACGCAATCCGCAATCTCCCCCATTTCCCTCCAAGGACTGTTTTACCCTGATAATTAAATGTCGAACTAAATCAGTACCAAACCATGATTGAGTAATTGCATTAGAAGTAGGGAGGCATCACTAAGATAACCATGATTGAGGCATCACATTAAGTACCAATCCAAGATTGAGTAATTACACTAAAAGTAGGCATTCACAAAGATAACCAATACAGAATGAGACCTTTGCGAAAACAATAAAACATAGAAAGTGTAGAAAACTCAAAACTGATGTAAAACACATGCATTCACATGTGGAGAACAATAACTAATACCAACTGGGTTTAGCCCATCTCCTCTCTTTCGATTGTTTATCAAATGGCGCACACAAAAATACTACTTTATAATTCATTCATATCCTTGGACCTTACCCAATGCAAGTTCTGTTTTCTCATTCTCCAAAACCACAAAATATGCAAACCAACCCATTTCCCTATAATCCCATTAAAGTTAAATTTCGAGCGACAAGGAAGAAATTTCAAGATATTATCATATAAAAGATTCATCATACGAATAAGAGATCATCTAATTGTGAATGCCTTCCGGTTCTAATGCATAATAAGACATCTTTCATACATGAACACAAAGTTGCAAAATTTACCTGAGACACCCAAAATTGAATCAGAATGAGTTCATCTCAAGACAGTAAGTACGCCTCTTGATCAGCATCTTGGCCGCCGTCCCGTACGGCTCTTCAAAGGCGGTTGAAACCCATGACAGATCAGAAGAGACCTCCTTCTTCGAGGTCGCAGATTGCTCACTGGGCCTTATAGCAACCAAAGTCGCACCCTTTAACACAACCCCATCAGGCAATTCCAAGTGGGGCGCGTACCAAAGCCTCATATTCAGGGCAGGCACGAGCGTCCTCTTCGACGCAGAAGAGGCCGACAATGGCTTCACCCTCAGCTCCTCCAGCTGGTCCCTGTTCATGTACAACACCCCCTGCCCGTCAGCATCGGTCAGTACCAAGCTATCAAGCGTTTTGTGCTCGGAAATAATGGGCTGAAGCAGGTAGTGCCTGGCCGAGGCAGCGATCAACGAGCTTATCGTCCAGACCACCCTCAGCTTCAGGCCTCCGTTGGTGTAAAACGAGTCGGGTATGCTTCCGTTGTCGTCCGAAACGGCGCCGTTGGTGTTGGCGTAAAACCCATCTGACCCATTGTCCTGAACATCGGAAAATTTGGTGGGTCCCGGGTGGATGACCGAGGAGGCTCCGAGGATGACGCAGTTGTCTAAGGTGGAGCCAAAATCGGCCCTCCATTTGAGCAAAACGCCGTCATCGATGCCGAGCTCGCCGCTGGGGAGCTCGATCCGGAGGAAGCGAATCTCATTGAAGTTCTTAAGGACTTGAGTCGGGGAGTGGTGGGTGACGCCGGATTGGTCGAAGCTGCTACTGTCAGCGGCGGATGAGTCGGGGTCGTCGACGGCGAGAGCGGAGTGGGACCCATTTGTGGATCGTCTTGTGGGGCCCAGGAACTGGCCGAGGGCCTGGAGAGGCTTGACAATGCCGCCGAGGACAAGGCGGAAGAGGGCGGAGAAGGGGGTCCGGGACTTGTCGGAGGAAGATGAGGAGGATGCGGAGGAGGGGGAAGATTCGTCGTCGGAGATAACGCAGTCGACGCGGACGACGACGTTTTCGACTTGGGGGACGAGGGAGTGGAAGCGGCGCGAAACGACGCAGCATCGGCCTAGGGCCTTGACGTCGCCGATCTTGTTGAAGACTAGGAGGAGGAGGGAGTCCGGGAGGCGATCGAAGAGGTCGTCGTCCATGTAAGAGGGCTCTGGGTAGACTCGGGAGGAGGTCGTCAGATCTGAGCGCAGAGACGACATCGTTTCGATTTGGGGCTAGTGGGTTTGCGGGTTTGAGATGAAGGAGAAGATCAGATTAGGGCTGAGGTGGATAGATCTGAGAGCGGAAGAAATGGCATGGCAGATTTCCGAGTGGTTTCGAGAGAGAGAGAGAGAGAGAGAGAGAGATGAGATAGAGAGAGGGGAAATGGGAAATGGTGGGAGGAGGAGATATATCCACGCACGCTTATGGGTTATAGGCTTGTTGTTCCTGTCATTTTAGGATCCGCGGAGAGAGAGAGAGAGAGACAGAGAGAGAGACAGAGACTTTGCTCTGCCTTTTTCGTTTTTTCGTTCTAACTTGATTCTTTACCTTGTTTGGTAATTCTATTTCAGCTTGGAAAATAAATTTTAAATGGAATCAATATTTTTAGCTTTTTTTTCTTTTTTCAATTAAAATATTTATTTAGCTGTATGTACGCCTTTTTTCTCCGAGGCATTGTGGAGTTGTATCTCAAAAAATGTTAAATTGAAATTTGATGACCTACGTGACAATTTAACGACTCTGTGAAGATACTAATGCTCATTTAGAATAATAGTAAATTCCAAGTTCCAATTTGTTTGTAAGGTGAGGAAAGTAAGATGGTGGTGGATAGGTAGGGCTGTCTGCAAAATGTGGTCGGGTAAAGACGTAAAAAGCCGCAACAAAAGGCCGCAAAGTATTTAGGTCAAGTTGGGGTTGGCTTCGGCTTGGCGCTCTCTGGCCCGATTTTATTTCCTTTTTCTATTTTTATCTATCTCATTTTATTCTTTCAAATTGCTTTTACTTTCTTTTTACTCGAAATTTATTACTATTTTGTACCTGAAATGACGTTTTGGTCTCAACTATAAACCCAGAAAAGAAAGATGATAACTTTGATTCAGATGAAAGCAAAGTATGGAAATGGGAACCCACCTCCTGTTCTTTCCCATTAATTTGGGGCCACATCAAAATTATCTTTTAATCTTGGAAATTCTATCATTTGGCTAGTAAAATATGATATAGAGTATGTCGGACAAAGATGTTCCTCAAATAATCATCCATATTGGGGTGTTTTCGAGATAATTAAGCGTATAATTTGAATGTGTATCGATGATTTTTTAGACTTGAGATGAAGATCCACATAAGAACGAGTTAGGAAACAAAGAATACCAATAATGTGATCAAGTATAGCTGTTATTTGAAGTATAAAATGTCAGAAAATAATAACATGGTGATGATGACTAGTCCTCAACAAAACAAATAAAGTCCGAATCATGCATACAAATTTTTAAGATGAATAAAATCCAATTATATTACTCATAATTTCAGAATTACACACGTAATGCCAAGCAAATACCTTATAATTAATTCATTAATTACTCGATCATTGCCTTGGAAGCCCAAATAAAATGCAGATTGTATCCCATCCAGGTGTCACATAAGCATGTGCAATTAAATTTAAGCATAAAAAATATATATCCAATAAAAGAAAACCACACGCACGTTGTGGGCCTTGTGACGTGCCATGTGTTCATAAAAACGTTTCCATGGTTACAAGCAAACACATGATGCCGTGGCGTCCGTACTAGTTTGATGGTACAAACCACAAACATAAAAATTTACCTAATTCATTTACCACCCCACAATTCCATGACAAAATTCAATATTTTGGTCAATCTTGAGTTGACTCAAAGTGATTTCGAATTGATAACGACTTGGATGATTTTATTTAAGTTCATAAGTTTATTCAACGTGCGTTTAATCCATAACGTCGAATATTTATGATGAAATCAAATTATTTCATTTTTGAATGGAGTTGGTATTCTTATCAACGTGCGTTTAATCCATAACGTCGAATATTTATGATGAAATCAAATTATTTCATTTTTGAATGGAGTTGGTATTCTTATCTTAGCTATCCTTAACCTCTAATCTAAGCGGAAAAAAAAAAAATTCCAAAGACTCCCCATGAACCCTTTGCTTTCTTGGTAAAAGTCACTATTTTACTTGCACTAGTTCTACTCGTTTTGAATTTGGAAATGTAGTTTACAAATAGAAGTCACATAGAATTCAAAAATCTTTAGAGCACATTTATTATATATTTTTTTCATAAATTTTATTTATTTATTTATTTATTTATATTTAGCATGATCTAAGGTAGGGCAAGAAAATATTCCTTTTCATCATAGGGTTAATTTGTCATGTAGGAGGAAGCTAAGCAAAATAAGAGAGGTTTGAAAGCAACTTTGGAACTTTATAATGGAAAAGAGAGAAGCCAAAACCATATATCATTCTCATAGTCAATTGTAGCCCATGATATCAGAAGGAGACAAGCTGTCCTTTTAATGCCATTCACACCAGCCACTCATTAGAGCCATGAGAGGAGAGAGGAGAGTGGAGAGAGGAGAGACTGTAAAAACATAGAGGCATACAAATGGGCCTGGGAAATTGAATTAAATTCATGACACAAGCAAGCAGACAGAGTGTCTGGTTGAGAGCAATAAATAAAAGTTGCAATTGAAGGCAAAGGCAAAAACTTGGCTAAAAGCATGGGAAGGAAGGAACAATTATAAGATTTTGTGAGTGTGTGGCATCCAAGTCTGCCTCTGATCATATGTGCCCATGCTCTTAATCATGTGGCCCCCTCCCTAACCTCTTGTTATTCTTCATTTTTATTGGCCTCCAATTAATTTAAACAGGGCATTTAATGGAAATGAGAGCTTATGATACAACATGATTACCTTAAATTTGGTGATAGAGCACCCACCACACCACTGGGAGTAATTTTCCATTTCCTATTATGAATCATTAGGTGTGTTTAATGATGTTTCATTGTAATGATAGTGACAATCCTGGCAAACATCCATATGCCCCAACCCCACACACACAAGAGGAGGTGCACATTTATGGATACACATAACCTCCCTCTAATCAATCCTTAAACCTGAGGGTTTATCACTTGTGGGGATTAGTAACCTCATAAAAAATCTAATGTTGTTTTGTTAGATTTCGTTTCTAATGCAAATGTTTATGTTGTCAGACAGTTCGACAAAAGATTATTTATATGTAATTTTATATGTATTTTTCATGTGCCTTAGGCATGGGAATTGAAGAATATGGATAATTTGACCCATAAAGCTATTATTAGGGAATCCTAGGAAGTGGTCCTCTGTTCTGAGTTCTCACATGTTGCCTATAGGAAAGGTTTCGTTTTGTGTGGATACTCTGCCGATCAATTAGAACAAATTATGTAAAGTCAATTTCTTTATTTCAGAATGCTAGAGTTAGTTGCGTGTGAAACTATTAAGAATGAATTAGTTGTTGCTGACTGGTAGACATGTTATGTAAAGTGTATCATTTTCTAGACAGATAGATATACCTAATTGATTTGGAGCTTAACAGCATCACATATAAAACACCTATAAAGACGATTCCTCTAATTAGATTGGTGCCAATATACTCTTTCAAGGTCTTTAGAGTAGGCATTGGTCCATAGAACGCCATTTATTTTGCTGCAGCCTTTGACCAACATTTCAAATTCTCATGTCAATTTTACCTTTTCTTGTCTTAAAGAAAAAAATAATGTAAACCTTTTCACCACTAGACTGATTTACTGCCTACAATAATTATAATGTATGCAATTATGAATACATACCTTTATTATAACATGTATGATCATTTGCTTCTTCTTTGTTGTCTCTTATGATATGAATAAAATTAAAGCATTCATAGAAGCCATGAATTGGAAACAAACCAAAGACATCTTTCCCACCAGCATCATTTCCTATACAGCCAGCCAGCATGCATGGTGGAAGATCCACATCAAGAATAGACACGACTCTGGCCACAAACACCTAATATTTCCATCTGCTTTAGAAGCTTTTATAAACTAAACCTAATGGGGGGCCTGCTTTTGTAAACATGTAGAGGAACTTGATCTACAACAGGGTAGATTAAACAATGGAAAGAGTTCCAGACATTAGAATTTGAAACTGTTGTCAACAGGTTTTTTTATTTCTCCTCTTAGTTTTGGCTTACATGATATAAGCTACAAGTTAGAACAGATGTCAGAAAATATGGTATTTTACCTAAATTTCCTTCTGTAGTTTCTTTTTGGTTCTTTCCTTTGTGGTTGCAATTTAAGTATTTCTGGTGCAGATTGTGGTGCATGCGGCCAGCCTGGCCCCTGCATCTATGAGACTATGAACACCATCATCATTTGACTATGATAGTTTTGGCAGCACTTGAGTGCTATTAATTGTGGGTTGTTTAGGGCTGGACATAAAAATGAATAAAGGATCATATCAGCTGGAGAATGAAAGACACAGCTTTTCCAAATTCGAAGTTCCATAATAAGGGAAGGACAATCTGTTTAAGACAATTCATTGGCTCACCAACTCAACTGCCCAACTTTACTTCTGACCCAGAAACAACATAGTTCATGGCTCCAAATTCCTGAAATGGGGATCGCAATAGCATCCCCTGTTTTGCTATTCCCGACTGACTACGGCATGCTACACATGATAATTTTTCCGCTTGGCATATCGTGATTGGTCGGAGATAGCGAAACTATGCTATTCCCATTTCACACAAGTTTTTCTGCCTAAGGAGGCATGGTGTTTCACCTTAACTGGATAACCCTTTTCATAGATTTCAATCCATTCTACAAAATGTTCATATCCAAACCAAACAACCACCAATCCACTAGTCCTTGAAGAAAATCTCAACAAAAATGGTGACCGCATGTTAGCTAAGCTTGATATCTCAATACCATTTTGCAATTGGGATTTGGATATTTAGGTGCACTTGGTATTTTGGGCACATCTGATTTTTAGTGGATGTGCAGAAAAAATAGTCATTGCAATATGATAATGGGTTCCAAAACAGCTCAGCTTCTTCCTTCCTTCCTTCCAACCGGTCACAAAGAAGTAATGAAATCCAGCTAAGCTTCACACTCTGTCTAGGTAATAGAGTAGACTATGGCCAATTTTAACTCTCTCTCTCTCTCTCTCTCTCTCTCTCTCTCTCTCTCTCTCTCATACATGATCTGTTTGCATTATTTAATCTCACAAAGCTTAGAAGCTGTCTCTTGCCATATAAATACTTAACCACCAAAAGTTTTCCATTATTGTGTCTCTACCATGTCCCCCTTAATGAACAATACCAATAAAAACAAAAAATAAAGCCATAGTATTATATCACTTAATCAAACATTAGAACAACTAATTATTTTTTTTAATTTAAAAATTCTGGATCATAGCATGCATCACAAATCTAAAATTAATTGGGGCCAATTGATCTACCTTTGAT